AAGCGCCAATCATGCGCGGAGAAGTTGCGACGGCTAAAACCTAAACCTGGATGTTTCGACGCAACAAGATTAATTCAAATTAGGTTGCCGGGACAGCGCGCAGGAAATCAATCGGTGCAACAGGCCAAAACGCAGCCGGGATACCCCCCTACCCCCCCCCCCACTCCCCACCGCCCCCCCGCCGCTGTAAGGGAGAAAAGAAGAGGGTTTTCACTCTCTCCGTCTACTGAAATCCACACGCCCCCCAAGATCGGCAGATTTGCAGAACAAGTAGAGCTTGTTGCTCCAAGATTCCCTCCTCAATTCCGCAAAGGCAGGCAATGACAGAATTCCGGGACAACTGCACCGATAGCCACTACTGCCAACTGCCAAATGCATAAAAGCAACAGGCAGAGTTGTGAAGTCGGTGACGGAATGTCTCCATGTCAGCAGAAGACTACTGGTGCTCAAGTGATCAAGGCCTCTTGGTCCTTCTCTTCTGCGTGGGGGCCGCGCCATTCGCAGTTGCACCCCTTGGCGAGAAGATCTTCAGGCAGGTTTGGCTTTCTTCCCACGCTGACGTGGGGTGTAGCCAAATGCCTAGTCATTGCATTGCGGTGGTCATGCATGATACGTCAAGTCTACGGCATTTTACTGGTCTCCAGCCAATATACAGCGACCCAGGAAGATGTCGAGAAGCAAAAGATCTTACTTCAAACTCTTTTTGTTCGGCTGCCCTTCACTTCAGCTCCCTGCCGGCAGGTATGTGTTGATACCACAGGCGCGCTTCTGGCTCGGGTGTAGCGGGGATGCATTCTTCCTAATCTTCATTTTTCAAGGCACTGCAGGTAGCAGGATGACACGTGGCCAACCCTCCATCAACTCCCCTGCGCCTATCCCTTCCCTTCTGCATTTAATGTCCTAACAATTTGAACTGTCTTTCTGCATCTGTAGCAGCGAAGCGACTGATTCTCAATGTTGGGGGCTCGACGCAACATAATCTAAGTTCTAAGTGCCGTTAGCAGCTAGCAGCTGTTCATATTGTAGATTTGCTCTCATCGGAGCGTCATGGGCATTGAGGACTCTGCTATTGCTTGTTGATGACGTGCCTGGCAAAAGTCCATTCGCTGCCGCTTTGCATAGTCGGATCGGAACGGAAGGCCCGGCCTCGAGTCATGGTCAGTTTGTGAGGCAAGCGGCGACGACGACAGTCGAGAGGCGGAGTTTGGTTCAAGCCAAAAAAATCATTATGATCCTGAAAGGCACAGGCTGCTTGCTGCTGCATCCTCAACGGATGATTCGGACCCGAGGGAGTCTTTGTGTGTACATGATTGTACAGGGCTCTGTCTACAGGATTCCTCACGGTGATAAGATCATCGGAAAATTTCGTGAGCTTGTGCATACTGACACCGTTCTCAAATCAGAAGTCAACCAGGCATGCCGTCAGATTGCAGAGCATCTGGCACTCGCTAAAGATGTGCCTGGAGGCAGGGAGTTTATGTGTTAATGGTCGGACTTGGCCAGCACAACACGTTGATAGACATTGCAGAGGGATCACCCAGCCTGGCTGAATCTGGCAAACGTCGTCTGTTTCTTAATTTCTGCGGCCGCTGGGGTGGTGTTTGCATGTCTGGCGACGGGAAGCCTGCCAGTTGTGGAAGCTGTAGGTATTGGATCATGGTGTGTCCGTAACGGGGCTGGGTAACGGATCAGCGCATCAGATCAGTCTGTGGTTGTACTGGATCGGTGGCTCCCAGCGAACTGGATCACGGAATCAGCCTGTAACAGCTCAGCCCTGTCACATCAGCCCTAATTAAACCCTAAACCCTAAGTCTTTCACTGCAACCATGGCCAAGTAAATTTCTAAAGCAATAAGGGTATTCCAACCCCAAACCCCATATAAACCCTAAATCATATACATACATACATACATACATACATACATACATACATACATACATGTGCATGCATATGCATACATATGCATACATATCCCTATATACCACTACGTGTCCCTTTAAACCTGATTATTGGGTATTTGGCTCCTGGGCTTGACTTCGAAAACCAGCGTCCTTGACTCTAAACCTGGTGTTGCGATATAGGGTTAAAGGGTTTAGGGTTTAGAGTTTAAGGGTTTAGGGTTAAAGGGTTTAGGTCTTAAGGATTTAAGGATTTAGGGTTTAAGGGTTTAAGGGTTTCAGGGTTTAGGGGTTTAGGGTTTAACAGTTTAAGGGTTTAGGGTTTTTGGGTTTAGGGTTAAAAGGTTTAGGGTTTGAGGATTTAAGGATTTAGGGTTTAAGGGTTTACGGGTGTCGGGCTTAACAGGGTAAAGGTTCAGGGTTTTAGCGTTTAACCTACGCCCCACAAGGTATTGACTCGGGTCTTGCCCTTAAAATCTCATGCTCACGCCATCTCTTCTAACATCAGAGAGTCCCAAAGGGGGNNGATCCTTCAATTCGCACTTTCTGCAACAACCAAACTGTAGTATCCCTGGTTCAGAAGCGGCGACCCTCTCGTCATACCTGCTCCTGTTGGCTGATCCGCTTCGTATGATCCGTGGAGCTGATCCGGCTTACTGATCCGATTCGTGTGATCCGATTCGACCCTGTCCTGATCCGATACGTCGGGCGCCCTTGATCCAGCTCGCGCCACGTACTGATCTGTTACATTTGAGCTGATTCGTGGGTCTACGAAACGCCAGTTGTACACAAATTCGAACCATGAACTGCTCCAGCAATAGAAAGACGCGCGCAAGCTCAGCTCAGAGCCTAATTTCCAGCATAATCCAGCATACCACAAAAGGGATAGAAGCAAGCTTAAGCCGTTGTTTTTGCCGGCATGTTGAAAGGCTACACAGATGAGCAGTGGCATCACCTGGAGGACCGGCTAATTCGTAAGCGGGGCAAGCCTGAGGTTGGTGCATTTATTGAACATACAGTAATTAAAGGAAAGGAGGTCTGGTCCGCTGCATTGCATGCACCATGCCGATAGAATGGCTCGTTGCTTGTGCATTTGCAAGACACTGATGATGTGCTAGTTTAAAGAGAGTTGAGAATGTTTTCTTATCTGCCAGAGGCCTTGGTGACAAGAGCGTCCTGAGCAGAGCGAACAGACGACTTATTTGAGGCACAAAAGTTAGAGAAATCTGTCTTGGAGCTTTCTGCATGCTCACGGATCGCTCATCAGGTCCAGGGCCTTGTCGCAATTTCTGAATCGCTGCAATCTGGCCTGCAGTTTCCTGCAATATCCGCACTGGGACTAGGTAGAGCCTAAGCGGATTTGCATTGGGCTTGTCGGGCTCAACATCAAAGCTCCGCAAACTTAAACTTGATCGCCAAGAGAGCGAAGAAGTTGACATGCCATTCAGAGCTATGTGGTGTGTCAGTGGTGTGTGCGCGTGTCAATTTCGGCATGCCCCTTGACCATGCACCTTCTGGATCGCGTGGACAAGCATTGCTTCCAGAGGACGCCCGTGCTTCAGCTTTCTGAAGCTTCAGGCAGGACCTCGCATGTGATCTTTGTGTGTTGGCCGTGACCACTGACCACGGGTGTTTGATTCTGCACACTGCTATGCAACAAGGTCGCCCCTAGCAGTGGTGAGGCATCTTGCACAGGAGCAGGACGAGAAAGCTGAAGAGGTGCTCGCAAGCGGCAGTTGCCAGGACTTCAATGGTCGTCACGTGAGGGGTGAGCTTTGTGTGCTAACCTTGGGGCAAGGTGGTCTTGCCAGTCTCTTGCAACCTGCTCGGACTCCTTTGTTGGATGCATTGTTGCAAAGCGAAAATTACGTGCCTGCAGCTTGTTTTGACAGGCTTGTGTGTGTGTGTGTGCGGTTGCAATGGGTGGGGGGCAACGGTTCCATGCCCGCGGGCTAATTGCGGTGTGTCCACGCTAGTAGGCATCCGACAGCTAGCTTTCTGCGGATCCTGGCGCCACTGAGTGAACGTCCTGACAGCAAGATGTGAATGCCTTTGCCTGCGCACGCTGCCTGGGCTCACTGCCAGCAAGAGCAGCAAGAGGCTTCCAACACACCGTTGAATAATAAGGGTAACACGGAGGTTCGCTTAACCATGGTGTAAGTGGATTAAATGGGCCAGAACGGACGGCGAGGGCAGTGATGCACTCGCATGTTTGCCACTGGAAGAGTCAAGCCATTTTGTGTGGTCTCTTTCCAACGGAAGGGTGCGACACGAAACTGCAGATATTCGCAGGTTGAGTTGGGTATGGGAGAAACATCTGTGCAAGTCAGCCTTTTCCGAATGCATGTGGGCCAGAGAACGAAAGGAAACTACAATTGGAAAAGAGGACGGCTACCTGCCTCGGAGGCATTATCGAACACGTTGACTTGCAGTTTGCAATTCAGGAAACTCGGAAACGCTTACCGCAGCATCCGCAGCATGTCAGACTGTCACCGTGGTGTCGTGGGATGCGCGCGACCCCCCCACACACACACACACAC